TATTTTCCCAAGGATAATAACACATTTATATCTTTTCAACTCCTGTAAAACATTGTTCTTTTTGTAAACTTGTTCTATTTTAGTCCTTTTAGTTACTGTTCTGCGACTTTTAGCTTTTGGCTCACTTTTTGTTACTTCTAGCTTTTAAATAGCTTTTCTGTTCTCCAGTTTTTAGCTATCTTATTGTTAATTTTGGCAGTTTTTAGCTTCTAGCTATCTTATTGTTAATTTTAGCTACCCTGTTGCTACTTTAGCACTAAGCTAAACCGTTACAAATTCCATTCTGCAATTTTTAGCATTTTGCTAGCCTTTTGTAACTTTTAGCTATCATTCTGCTAATATTTGTTTCTTGGTAGCATTTGGATAGTTTGGGCATCTAGATAGTTTTTTGATACTTTTAACTTGCCTTTTACTGATTTCACCATTTAGCCACCATTTGGCTACTTTAGCATTGAGATATCCGTTTGCAAATTTTTAGCTACCATTCTGGTTTTTTTTTTTATATTTTGCTAGCCTTTTGTTGCTTTTAGCTACTGTTCTGCTACTTGTGACTTAGCTTTCCTTTTGCCAATTTTAGCTTTTAGGTAGCCTTGCCACTTTTAGTGTCCCTTTTGCTACTTTAGCATTTAGTTAAATGGGGGAGTGGTGGTGCAGAGGCTAGAAGATGGGCTTGTGATCGGAAAGTCGCAGGTTCACCTCTTGGTACCGTCAACATCAAAATGTTGGTGGAAAAAGGTGAAACACCCAAACCTGCCTCCACTGGGAAACTGATATATATATATATATATATTAATAAACATTTTTGAAGTTTCTGTTCTTATTTATATAAATTTATAGTTAAGACGGAGAACTTCACATTTCTACATGCTTTAATCTGTGGCAATAAAATAATTTCTGTGCAAAAGTTGAAAAAATAAACAAATAAAAAATACCCATGAATCATAGTCACAAAATTATTTTTATTCTGACGAGGCCATAAAAATAATTGTTGGTGGTTTTTATTTGGGAAAAGAAACTAAACAAGCCCTAACTTTCCTTCAAACTAACATCCTTCGGGCTCAGCTGTAAATGAAAATGATTTCTGTAATTTTCTGAATATAGAAGCAGATGTAAAAAGAACCAAAACAAATCTGGAAAACCTAAAATTAATTAGAATAAAATTATACATTAGCTGCTAACACCCGCTGCACAAAAAGCTTTCCTTGACGTCCGAAGGTCGTCATTCCGGTTACGTTCTGCTCGTGGCCCGGTCGCTGCTGCTTCTGTAAAACATCCATTTGGTGACAAAAGAAAGAAATCCCCTCTGGTTCTGATCTGGGTTTTAGGGATTTTGGGGGTCAGAGAACAAAGCAAAGCACATGAAAGATGAGCTGATTCTTCCAAAAGAAGATTTCTCCAGTAACTTCAGCCCCCATGGTGAAAAAAGCGTGAAGGATTTTACAGTTTTGATGTAACTGAACCACGAATAAAGACCGAACACGTCACGGGTGTTGGTTTTCAGCAAACGGGAGTTCCACAAAGCTTTGTATCGGTAAGATGAGACCCACAACATTTACAGAGCCGGTTTCGATCAGCGGCACAAACATTAGAAGCTTCGGGGAGAAGTTACTTGATTCTCTCAGAAACTCGAGCTCATTGAAAGGGATGAAAAATCTGATCACTTCTTATTGGCTCCCCTGAGGCGGATGAAGAGGAAAAAAGTGGCGACAGTAGCGTGTTGGTGCAACACGTGTTGCAGAACTTTATTGTTGTCTAAACAAACCAAGCACAAAACACAATCATTAGCTCAGAGATATCAGCTGAGAACACTTAAACTGGTTTTCAACATCTGAATTATTGAAGAGGTGAACTTCTCGACAGTTCGAAAACTTAAAATCTCTTTAGCTTTTATTTGGATCCACTCTGAAGGTCTTTCCTGAGGCTGGTGCTGGATCAGAACTTGCCCTACTTCTTACAGGTCTTCTTGAAGTTGGAGTTGACGATCAGCTGAGACTGGCGCTTCAGGGCCTCGCGTGAGACGACGCTGGCTTCCTCTTCCTCGCTCCTGTACTCTGCGAGACAAGCGGCGACATGAAGTCAAGTTCGGGTGCTTTGCTTTGCGTTTGTCGTTTTAAACGCCTTCAACTTACTGTCATCGACAGGGTCCGGTGTCTGGGCCTCGAGGAGTCGGACTCTCATGTACTCCGGTAGCTTCGCCTCTATCCTCACATAGAACTGATCACAGAAATAAAAAGGGACACAATGCGTGATTTTCCCGTGAAATCTGCCCCATATCTTTAAACTGACTGAGTTATCACCACTCTATGGCTATGGTTTAGCTGTCGCAGCCATCTCGACTCCAGAAGGTAATCAGTTTTGGATGTACCGGTACGTTCAATCAATCCGATGGCAGAGCTCCTCATCCATTGGGCCCGGCGGCCCCGCTACAAAAACAGCTTATTTCAGATGCTTGTATCCAGGATCTTGTTCATTTAGTTGTGATCCAAACCTCATGACCACAGGTGAGGGTTGGAACGTAGACAGACTAATAAATCTTTGCCTTTTGGCTCATTTTTTTCTTCACCACAACAGACCGAAGCAACGCCCTCATTACAGAAGACGAGGCCCCAATCCGTTGATCCACCTCCCACTTCATCCTACCATCACTCAAGAACAAGATGCTCAGATACTTGAACTCGTGACACAGAGGGAGCATTCCACCTTTTCCTGGTGAGAAGCACTGCCTTGTTCTTGCACTCAGATATGTAGAGAAGCGTAAAAGGTTTGGAGTAAACAACCTCTGGGTCATTTATTCTGCCGTTACATGAAATCCTTCACCGTAAAAAGTGATTCAGCCACCAAGTAACTGCCTGTACAACCACCGGATGAAGCAAATGTGTGCTTCAATCTTCTCAAAGCCTCCTGTGAAACTACATCCAGATGATACAAACTCAGAACCAGATCACTTCTCCTCTGTGTCCGTCACTGGTTTAATGAATGTTTTTAAAAATCTAGGGGAAAACTAAATTCTTGAAATTAGACTGCTCATTGATGAAAATTAAAGTTATTAAAAGATTCACCTGCATTGATGAGCCGAAGAATAAAAAACACAAGCCGAAACGATGAATACTATGAACTAGTGGTGCTCTCAGAGTTTCAACCAGTTTCTAACCAATCCCAGCAGAGCAGCATGTCGCTTCTCTGGATCCACACTTGCAGCGGAGCTGTTAGAGCTGCCTTTATGAGTCAAACATAATTACCTGATGATTTACCCACACAGTCAGTATAAATAGCTGCTGCCTACATCCACAACGACAAATCAGCTGCCTACTATTATTAAGAAACTCCTGTAAGAACCATCATTGTGAGGGCTGTTCTTATGCAACACGTTCTCACCTCGTCTTCCTCCATCTCCTTCATGACAGCGACCAGGTCCTTTCCTTTGAGCTCCGTTTGTAACGCCTTAAGTTTCAGCTCACACTGGACCAGAAGCTCCAGAACAAACTCATCCGAATCTGGAAGCACGTCAGTGACTCTGTCCTCACTCTGGAAGAGGAACGATAACAGGACAGGCAAAGATGATGGAAGCACTGAGACAGGAGGACATTTAACGCTGTGTGTGTTTTACCAGCGCCACGAGCTGCAGTTTCTCCGCCAGGTGCTCAACTCTACCCCTGATGGTACCGAGGGCTTTTGTGAGCTGCGCCAGGTGCTCTTTGGCTGCGTCACATCTCTGCTGCTGTGCTTGCAGCTGATGTTCGGACTCCTCCAGCAGCTTCTGCTCACTAATAAAACCCAAATGAAACTTGAGGAGGAACACACTGCTGATGTCTGAAATGACTTTTAGACAAACCTGACAGAAACAGAAAATAAATAATGTTTTCACGGACGTGAGCCTCACTTTGACAGTTTAGCCTCCCCTGAATATTTAATATCCTTGAACTGTTGGTTAAGGAGCTCCTTCTGCTCCTTCAGCTGCTGCAGGACCTCTTTGTTCTCTTTCTTCAGCTTTTCCAGATGTTGGTGCATCTCTTTTTGGGAGATAAACCACTCCACGATCTCCTGCGTTGCAGAAACACCATGAGGAAATCAAATCTGCTTGTGCCACACTGCAGGTTGGATAAAACTCTTCTCTTCATGGTCATACTTGAATATCTGTGACCCCGGTGGCGTCCTGGATGCACCTGAAGGCTTCCTCGAAGGTGGAGATGGCTTGCTCTTCTTCAGCTGCGATCCTGGTGACGCTGCGCTGGGCCTCGCTGCTCACCTCATCTGGCTGCACGGTTGTTTTCCGAACCTGCATGTGGTCAAGTTTCCAGACAATTTTAAAAGTTAACACTCATTTTTACAACCATTTTTAGTGTTGAACTATGATCTGAATTAAAGACTTCTCCCATTTTTTCTTATTTTGGACGTGGTCAGACATCAGCTGTCTCCTCGCCTACCTCACCTTTCTATCTGCTCTTTCAGCCTGGGCCTTGAGCTCTTCAACCGTCTTCCTGGAACTTGCTATGACTCGCTCTCTCTCCTTGTGCTCTTTGGACAGCAGCTCTTCCTGTTGATGTAACTCAGCCTGAAGGAAAAACACGTGACTAAATGAGGTTAAATCAACCAAGATGCATTGTTTTTAGCAGGTCAGAATCAGAATAAGTTTTATTATCATTGTACCGGGAAACAGTGAAATTATATTCGTACAGTCGTCCAAAAGATGGGCGGAGTGCACGTTGCTGCTGCTACAAGAGCGCGGCCTCTTGTTCTTTATCAGAATAATTTTAGATAGAAAAAGGTAAAAGGCCATGAGGATGGATAGTGGTATTAAAAAAAGATCTCTTCACATCTTGTCCTATCAGGACACAATGCGAGACATCAAAAAACTCTACCAGCAAGCACAATTAAAAACACATTACATATGCATTTGACGTCAAGACGTTGCGATTTGTCCATGAGCTCTTTCAGATAGGCCACAGTCCTGATGATGTTATTTCAGCTGGTAGTTCTGATAAGCCTGCACAGAAGTTCTCGGGGGGGGGGGGGGGGGGGGGGGGGGGGTTGTGATAGATTAAGCTTTTTCCCTAGTTACCCATGTCCC